TATCCTATCCTATCCTATCCTATCCTATCCTATCCTATCCTATCCTATCCTATCCTATCCTATCCTATCCTATCCTATCCTATCCTATCCTATCCAACTCCCAGCCCCAGGCTCAGATCAGCACCTTATCGAAAGCTCCCCCTTTTCCTCTGGAGTTTTTTTCCTGAGAGGACAGCTCTGGGAACGCAGCTTTAAAAGCCAGGCATTGTGGGGGTGGGRGTGAGGTGCTCCAGCCTGATCTGAGAGGATTCCTTGACATCCATCCRCTGTTGTCCCTTATCTCCATCTCCTGTTCCGACACACAGATCCTGCTGCATCATTCCTGTCCCCGACCGCTATCAGCACGCTTCGATTTGTTGATTGCCTTATCTCTGCCACAGCCTCATTTGCTCAATACACCCCRCAAGTTTTCAACCTCTGCAGGTGCCACAAGGGTTTCTCAAGAGGGTGCCTGCCAATAAAATGTCCAGGTGTGGCTGAAATGTCCCAGAGATATAGGAAAAGATTCGTTCTCCGGCCTGTGACACAATGTTGTATCAAGCTGTGTTGCTCAAAGGTAAATTCCCTTTTGCTTTACTGCACAGAAACCTCTGACTGCTTAAAGCTAAGCCTTTTTTTTTTTTTTTTTTTTTTTTTTTTTCCCCAAAGGAAAAGATGGGAAGCAAGTTTGTAAATGGTTTTACTCTGTTTGTTCCCCAGTAACCATCGTTATTCAGACACCTTTGACTGAAAAAAACCTCCAAARCATCACCACTGTGGCTGTAAGAGCAGAGAGGGGTGGTTAGGGAATCCATAACACAACTCATGACTGGATTATCACAGATCAATGCAAATGGAATAATCAAATACTTTCTTTTAATCTTTTACTTTCTGCTTTTTTCTGCTTTATTTGTATACCTATTTATTTCCCACTTATTTATTTCCCTATTTATGTATTTATTTACCTATTTATTTATTTGATGTTACCTCAGTGTTCAGATTGTCTCCATTCAAGAGACCAATGAATAGCAGATCCTCACTGAAATGTAAAATGGGAGAGTGAGGAGTGAAAAGAAAGGAGGGAAACATTTCTAATGTTGGTTTGCAYAGCACTGGTTTCCCATATGTTGGAAATCCACTGGCGTCCCTTTAAGAAAACTATTAGTTTATGAAAGCTAACGRCACTAAAAATACAGTAATTAACATGTTCATAATGTAAATGCTAATAATTTAACATGTCAAGCATCCTCATCCCCTACTGAATCAATATGAATTATTGAAATCGACTCTTTAAGACCTTTAAAATCAACTCTCAAAGCATGCACTAACAATTACACCGTTGGCATACAGGAGCACCAAGTTACAAATTCATGCATAAGACTGTCTGACACACTCGTTCTCTTTGATGAAAAAAAATACAAAAGCAAAAAAAAAATCCCCTCAAAATCTTACGTTTGGAACTGCACAACGTACAGGCATAAGTGAAATATTGGGGTTTTTGCTCAGAGATTTTCTAAGTTTCTTAGATATAAACCTTATTGAGAGGTTACAGTGTAATTTTTTCCATTACAAAGGTGACAAAATTGTCCTGAAGGAATAAGGATATAAAGATAATAGAAAATTATTCTAGTAAAGTAAAAATTAAAGTTCCTAGGTTTAGATCAGTTTTCTCTCAAGGTTGTTGATCACGAAGAAGACATTTCAAAATTGATTCTAAATATTATAAATAAAGACTAGCTCTTAAAGATTATTCCCATGTTTACTACAGAAAAGGCAAGAAAAACATTTGGATTTTTTTTCAAACACCTGTGAAATAGAGATGGAATTATTAGGTGAATATGTCTTACCTCACAGCCTGCTCTCGAGACACTTTGGGAAAGGCTCACAACGTCTCCTTTGTGTTTATATATGGAGAGACAGCCAAATGCCTCCAGGAGATGGTTGTTTCCTGGTCAATTCATTGAGAGAAGATGGCAGATATGACCTTTTTTTTTCTTATTCGTTACAGATACAAAATAAAGTATTTTGCAATTGAGTACAAAACCCATGGCATCAACTGAGGCTTTCAAATGCTTATCCTATCAAATTGTGCAATGCTCGTGTT